CCTTCCCCAGTAGGGAAGCTGTCGATGACCCATCCCTGGAGGTGTTCAAGGCCAGGTTGGATGGGGCTCTGAGCAACCTGGTCTAGAGGAAGGTGTCCGTGCCCAGGGCAGGGAGGCTGGAACGAGATGATCCTCGAAGTCCTGTCCAACTCAAACCCTTTCTATGATTCTATGATTTCTTTGTTTTTCCGCTGCCGTGGAGGCAGAAGCGGCCGGCGCTCCCTCCCCTGCTCTCCTGCTGCGCCCTGGCCTCATTGCCAACGACAAGTGACCAGTTTCCAACCTTGCTAAGTCGCTGGCTCTATCTACTAAACCCCGTGTGCCGGTGCCAGCAGCCGTCCCCGGCGGGACACGGGTCCCCTCGCTTCCCCCGGCGGGGGTAGCCTGGCCATGAGGCGGCGGCCGAAACGAAGCGCGGCGGGGGTGGGAGGATCCGCGGGCAGCGGCGGGAAGAGCGGCGGGAGGAGCCACGGGATGCGCCGAGGCCCCGGAGCGCCCCCACCCCTTCCCCGCGGGCCGGTGACGCGGCCCCGGAAGGCGCTGCCGTCACTTCCCCGGCCGCCATCTTGTCGGGGCTGAGGCAGCGCCCGCCGGCCCCGCTCCGTGTGCGCGGCCCGCCCGCCCCAGCCCGCCCCGCCATGGCCAACAACAGCCCCGCGGTCGCCAACTGCCAGGGGCAGCAGGCGGCCCAGCACCCGCCCGGCGCCGTCCCGCCCGCGCAGCAGCCGCTGCAGGGCGGGGGCCCCAAGCCGGCGGCCTCGGGCAAGCCGGGCAACGTGCTGCCGCTGTGGGGCAACGAGAAGACCATGAACCTGAACCCCATGATTCTCACCAACATCCTCTCGTCGCCCTACTTCAAGGTGCAGCTCTACGAGCTCAAGACCTACCACGAAGTTGTGGACGAGATCTATTTCAAGGTGAGCCCGCCGGCCGCGCTGGCACCGGGCCCGGTTTGACTGCGGCCCGCGCCTTCTCTCCCCTTACCCCGCGCTGAGGGATGGGAGCGAATACCACTCGTACTGCTTAGCTGGGGCTGCTGCCTTGTCCGCCTCGCGAAAGAGGCGTATTCAGCGTCGGATTTGGAACTGCGGAGCTGTGAGTTAGGTTTGGAGAGGGCGGCGTGAACCGGGGCGGTGGGGGCGAAATGGCCGTCGAAGGGCTGCGCCTTTAGCCGGAACGAGCGCGGAGGGCACGGGGCGGCCGCGGCCAGGGACGGGCCCTCCCCGCAGCCCGGGGGCTGCCGACACCCTCTGTAACCACTGACGCACAAGGTACGGTGGTGACTGCAGGTGATCCAACAGGAGTCTGCATGTGGCCTTCCTCATCACTTAAACGTTGGGATTTCCTCCTCCGTTACCCGTTAAAGAAGTTTTCTTGGCGTTAGGTAGGATGTGCTGCGGAGACGAGTGGTCTATATCGGGGCACCCATGTGTCGGTTCTTGTTTCGTTAGCAGGATTGAATCAGTTTTGCAGCGAGGCTTCCATCAAGCCAGTCTCCCAGGTAGAGGTATGCATAATTAATGCTCATCAACACAGCCACTTTCTTTGTTCTGATAACGAGACCAAAATTTAGATAACTTAAGATTGAATAATTCAGCTATCTTTAGCCATCTGTACTTTGGTGGTTATTCGGATATTTTTCTCAGGTGAATTCATTTTGCTTGATAATGTTACCGTGTCAGCAGGTTTCAGTGTATTTGAAATAAAAAAAAAAAGTAATGGTAGCCTTTTTGTTTCGTTTGACCAAGGCAAGTCAAGTTACTTAGGGCACTGTAATTACAAAAAGTAACTCCGCCGCAGTATTTTTGAGATTTTTGGCAGTTTGGGCTTATCTTCGCTACTGTTTTTTTCACTTAATGATAGCCCTTGTCTGCCTGTTCTCTGTCATTTGAAGCTGATTATTTATTTCTCCTAGTACTTAGAGTAACAGAGATTGTTGGCAAAGCATCTCTCCCGTTGCTGCATGTGAGAGAGACTGACTATCTGAATGGAAAGTAGCAGACTTTATTTATGCAAGTGATGGCTAGAGCTGGAAAATTTATAAAAGAAACATATTTCCAGAAAATCTGAGAGCATACTCATTTTAAGTGGACCTTTTCAGATGTAGTAAAAAATATTTGATGGGCTCTATTGTCTTTGTATTAGTAGAGCTCAGCTGCAGCATGTCAGATATTTGTGTTACTCGTCTTACTGTTTCATTTCACAAGTGGCCTAATGTTAAATTGGAGGAAAATTTTGTCATGCCATTAAAAATCTGATTTTTAATCCTGTGCAAATAAAGTTTGCTTACTGAACTTGTCAGTTACTCTGACTCAAAACTACAGGCTAGATAAAGAGAAAACTCAGTCTCTTACTCACTCGTGAGTAATGGGTGTGGGGGAGATGGTTAAGGTGTTTCATTGATATTAAGAAGATTTGAATTTTCTTCATGTTTTAAGATTTCTGAATGATTGTTA